TTAAATAATGCGGATTACCGCTCAGTTGGTTCTTTCTGACGCATAGATGGCCATCCTAGTATTCTTATAAAACATTCCACGAGAAATCCACTTTTCACAAAAAAAAAAAAAATCCATTTTCTATCTCATGAAAAGCGTAAAGTTGAAGAGATTTTTAAATTAATTTAGAATTCAGCCATATATTTGATAAAATACTCATTCTGCAGATATGTTTAAGACTAGCTTATGCTGGCTGTATCTCATAGTCGGGAAGCTTTATTTCAGTAGCGCAAGCGTTCGTCAGGGATTGAAAATTCCTTTGATTACAGATATCGAGATCACCCTGGTTTTATTAAAAGATGATGAATTGCAGCTCTCCGAAACTGTCTATCGAAAAGGCCGAGATGAGCTTATGTGGGTGATTTTGCAATATGTAGCCGTATACATAGCACGAATAACAAAAGAAGAAATGGTACGAATTGCCGAAATTTACAACTTACTCTACAGGTATGGACATTTTGACGCTGATTCGTAATTCCGCATTTTGCATTTGTTTGAAATGCAGGTGTGCGTATGCATAGATAGTTCAAGTACCAGATCAAGTGAGATTTTTAGGAAAAAAGATTAGCTGTTGGAACTTAAGGATCAAAACTAATCTGGTTTAATAACCCAAATTTGAAGGAAGGTGGTTTTTGATAACTTTTCATCAGAACAACAGACGGAGGAGTATTTTCATAAGACGAAAGTACCCTTCTTCCAAAAAAAAATCGCATAGGTTTGTTAGAGATTGAAGGTGCTAAGCATTTTTTTCTGAAGCCTAGCTACTGCTGCTGATATTGATGATGATAATGATGATGATGGTTGCCAAAGAGATCTTGGTAGATGTTGATACAGCTCTGTAATGTGTAATTCGTGTGGAACGATTAGAAATTAGTGCATATCGTATGTGTACGTTGCATGTTTTCGGGTCACATGTACCTCCTTCCCTTTGGGTTGAGTTAAAAATCAAGATGCTGACAATTTCTCGTTTGGACATATGACTTACTGCTCTAGATTGTAAAATAAGCTTGAGAGAAATGTGGAAATGAGGAGGGGGGGGGGGGGGGGGGGGGGGGGGGG